GTGGAATGAAATTTATTGGATGTGTCAAACTTTTTTAACAAATAAAAAACTGAAAAGTGGGGCGTGCAATATTATTCGGACCCTTGCGTTAATATTTTGTAGCGCCACCCTTTGCTGCAATTACAGCTGCAAGTCGCTTGGCGTATGTCTCTATCAGTTTTGCACATCGAGAGACTGAAATTCTTGCCCATTCTTCCTTGCAAAACAAGGAATAATATTGCACGCCCCACTTTTCAGTTTTTTATTTGTTAAAAAAGTTTGACACATCCAATAAATTTCATTCCACTTCACGATTGTGTCCCACTTGTTGTTGATTCTTCACAAAAAATTAGAATTTTATATCTTTATGTTTGAAGCCTGAAATGTGGCAAGAGGTTGACCAGTTCAAGGGGGCCAAGTACTTTCGCAAGGCACTGTAAACATGTGACAAGCATTTTAATTTAATTCAATCGTCAAAGAGATTGAATCACTAAAAACAAACCTTCTCTGATGTTCCGAGTTGTAAATCTTTAACTAAAGAAACCTTTGATCAGGAAGAATTATGAAAACCAGGCCACTTCCTTGTTAGCATGGTACATATTCAATAGTGAGAAGAACTGATGCAGCAGAGACGCCCACAAACAAATATAGTTCAAGATGAAGATTTCTATCGTCGCATTAACTTTTTCTTTCTTGGATGCGTGTGGCTCAAATTACAGCCAACAAGACATGCCAGTGATACAGATGATAGCATAATTCCGGGCCAACTTGCAGAGGAAACTCATTCTAGCCGCTTGTATATGGCGTCTCGTTCTTTCTGGCACTGATTAACTCACATGACCATATAGGTGAGGACATAGGTCCTCCTAGAACTGAGGCACTCTTTCACAACTTTCTCTCAGTAAAGAGGTTCAGGAAACCAGAATTTCATTTTGGTGACATGTGATCTAATGGAGGGACTGCATGGCCAACCGCTGAGGGCCCAGCTGATCAAAGTGGTTGAGTGAAGATGCACTGAATTCGGAAAGCCTTGAGACAGAGACTTGACAGTAGAGCTGTTAGCCAAGCACGATTTACAGCTGACCTGCAAACAAAGACAACCATTCTCCAACCATAATCTCCAACTGATGCTTGTTCGGTTAAGGAGTTGGATTCTTCTTACTTGCAAGTATGCATGTGCTATGTCTACCAGAAACTACTGTGGCTTATTTCTCTAACTGTCTCCATAGCAACATGTCTGAATCAAGCCGCACTACAAGCTGCATATGCTGCTGGCAGCTAACATGCTTCCATCCAGATGACAAAGGGATTGTTTACAGCATGCTTCTAATGCTGTGGTGAATCTCTTGATTCGTTGTGTTGGAATTTAGACTAGTAAATTAAAAGCTTAATTCAAAACACGTGTCTTCTTCACAAACAACAAACATGTACCTCTGCACAACTAGACCTTGGTATTCTGTTGGAGGAAGACCACAAACAGAATCAGGTTCAAACAACAATTCTGGTTGGAGTCCATCCACCTCAGCACAGACCAATCCCTTGCAGGTAACTGCAAGGGCCTGGGTGAGCTTTTTGGAGAATCATTATCTGGCTCCAGGGACCTGGAATGTCAGCTACCTCTCTCCAGTCCTGCACACTACCAACTGAGCTATCAAAGGTCTATGTCAGATACTGATACTTTAATATTAGGGGTCTCCAGCTCCAACTTTTAGAAGCATCCCTGCTCCAACACACCTGAATCAAATAAATGGCTCATAACCAGGCATTTGCCAAACTTGAAGGCATGCCGAAGAGTTACTTCAACCATTTGATTTAGCTGTGTTAGAGCAGGGGTGAATCTAAAAGTTGCAGGACGGTAACTCTTGAGGACTGGAGTTGGAGACCCCTGCTTATAAGCAGATAATAAGATAAGCCAAGGTGATATTCACAGATTTTAATTGTCTGTACTCACTGCCTCAGCACTTCCTGGTTTATTGAGGGTTGTTTAAACACAAAAAAGGAGAGAATCTTGACCCAAAGAAATCCAGCTGGATAAGACAAAACTGATTTCACACCCAAAAAAGAAAAATAGTAAGTGTTTCTACATGGAATTACACAATCTTAGAAGCAATACAAGAAAACAGCTTTCATGTTTCACTCCCTAACATCCAATAATAAGAGATTTATTTTAAAACTAAAAATAACTACGTCTGGCATCAGTATGACTGTCACAGCAACTGAATATTCAAAGTCAAGCACATTTGTATTTGATGTAATGAAATATAATGTGGCCCGTGAGCAGCCACGCTCTCACACCTTTATTATAAGCGAACCAAATCACCTTTCTTGAGTGGTAATTTGGCTGGTACAGTGGACGGCCGCGACAGAACACTTAATAATATTCTCAGCGAACATTAGTTTGATGAATGAGAGTCAGAAAGCTGATTTGTTACAGTAGAGGCATCATTTAACAGAAGGGTACTGTGACACCTCAATTAAACGCTTGTGCTCGAAGCGCACATCGTAGGGCTGCTATCTGAAATGACGGACACGGCAAGCCCATCAGCATTTATTATGGTAATGTAAGAAAAAGACACTTGTCTTCAGAGTAAATAAACAGCAAGCGAGCTCGCCGCTAAGCCCAGCGAATGAAGAATGAAAGACAAAACGAGGCGGCAGACTTCCGGCATGATTGGCGAGTAAAAGGGAGTCGGAGCATTTTATGAGGGCAGATTAATGCACTGATGTAGTATATTTCTGCACGTACTGCTGCTGCTACGGGATTAAACAGAGGTGAGACATTTACACAAATGAAAGCAGCCTGACACCAGTCCCTCCAGACAATAGTGTCATCCGTTTCCGGCCATAACTTAAGACTTTTTGCAGACGGTGCTCTGTTGATGTCTGCAAGCTCAAAAGGCCCCTCCATCCCCCCGTTGAGTCCCTGTCACTGCCTGCTGCTGTCGGGGTGGCAGGTGTACAGTGCTGAACAGAGGTGCCTGTGTTGTAGGTGCTGCTGTGCACCTATTCCTAAGCAAGGGCGTAGGAATGAGTTAAACATACAGGGGTTGGACAATGAAACTGAAACACCTGGTTTTAGACCACAATAATTTATTAGTATGGTGTAGGGCCTCCTTTTGCGGCCAATACAGCGTCAATTCGTCTTTGGAATGACATATACAAGTCCTGCACAGTAATCAGAGGGATTTTAAGCCATTCTTCTTGCAGGATAGTGGCCAGGTCACTACGTGATACTGGTGGAGGAAAACGTTTCCTGACTCGCTCCTCCAAAAGACCCCAAAGTGGCTCAATAATATTTAGATCTGGTGACTGTGCAGGCCATGGGAGATGTTCAACTTCACTTTCATGTTCATCAAACCAATCTTTCACCAGTCTCGCTGTGTGTATTGGTGCATTGTTATCCTGATACACAGCAACGCCTTCAGGATACAATGTTTGAACCATTGGATGCACATGGTCCTCAAGAATGGTTCGGTAGTCCTTGGCAGTGACGCGCCCATCTAGCACAAGTATTGGGCCAAGGGAATGCCAAGATATGGCAGCCCAAACCATCACTGATCCACCCCCATGCTTCACTCTGGGCACGCAACAGTCTGGGTGGTACACTTCTTTGGGGCTTCTCCACACCATAACTCTCCCGGATGTGGGGAAAACAGTAAAGGTGGACTCATCAGAGAACAATACATGTTTCACATTGTCCACAGCCCAAGATTTGCGCTCCTTGCACCATTGAAACCGACGTTTGGCATTGGCATGAGTGACCAAAGGTTTGGCTATAGCAGCCCGGCCGTGTATATTGACCCTGTGGAGCTCCCGACGGACAGTTCTGGTGGAAACAGGAGAGTTGAGGTGCACATTTGATTCTGCCGTGATTTGGGCAGCCGTGGTTTTATGTATTTTGGATACAATCCGGGTTAGCACCCGAACATCCCTTTCAGACAGCCTTCTCTTGCGTCCACAATTAATCCTGTTGGATGTGGTTCGTCCTTCCTGGTGGTATGCTGACATTACCCTGGATACCGTGGCTCTTGATACATGACAAAGACTTGCTGTCTTGGTCACAGATGCGCCAGCAAGACATGCACCAACAATTTGTCCTCTTTTGAACTCTGGTATATCACCCATAATGTTGTGTGCATTTCAATATTTTGAGCAAAACTGTGCTCTTACCCTGCTTATTGAACCTTCACACTCTGCTCTTACTGGTGCAATGTGCAATCAATGAAGACTGGCTACCAGGCTGGTCCAATTTAGCCATAAAACCTCCCCCACTAAAATGACAGGTGTTTCAGTTTCATTGTCCAACCCCTGTACAGTTATATTCAGTATTCATAAATGTATGGAAGGACTTGAGCGACATAATTAAGGCGACAGCCTCTTTAATAACCACAACATTTGGTGTGTAACCTATCCTAAGATCAGACATTACTCGATGACTGGGTACACAGTAAGGCAGGGACAATAAGAATGTTTAATAAATTACTTAACACCATTATACTACCATTACAAAACATGAAATCACAGTTTTTAATTATGTAAGTTTTATTGTTTTTATGCAAATTTTTACCAAAAACATTTCCTTGAATTTTACCACTTTAATGCTGATAATGACTAAATTATTTTTCAGGATAGCACATTTATATAGATTAGTGAATTGTTCCAAAATGTTGTGCAGTGTCCTTGCTAAAGTATTCATAACCTTTGAAGTCTTCCTTACCACCACAACCATCCATCCATTGTCTTTACCAGCTCGTCCCTGCAGTGTCGCAGGGAACATGGTGTCTATCTCCAGCTGCAATTGGGCAAACAGCAGAGTATGCCCTGGACAGGTCGCCAGTCAATTACAGGGCACCACATAGACACACAGAACAGCCAACCATGCATGCACACACTCACATCTAGGGGCAATTTTACAGAAACCAATTTACCTAACAGTGATGTTTTTGGTCCATGGGAGGAAGCCGGAGTACCCAGAGAAAACCCACACAAGAACAGGGACAACATGTGAACTCCACTCAGAAAGACCACAGGCTGGGATTCGAACCCAGGACCTTCTTGCTGCAAGGAAACAGTGCTACCAACTCCCTCACCATGCAGCCTGCCACCACTTCAGTATGTTCTATGGGGTTTTACATGATAGAGCAATACATAGTAGCACATAATTATAAAGTAGAAGGAAAATACTCCATTTGCAAAAAGTTCTTAAAATAAAAATAAATATTGGTCAAGTATGGGAGTGACTCTGGATAAAATACAGAAGTCAGCTAATTAGTTAATAGACCCCATCTAAGTATAATGTAATCTCAGTATAATTACAGCTGCACTGTGGAGGTATCAGAAGTTTAGAGAACAGAAATGTACAAACAGCATCATAAAGATCAAAGAACAAAGACCAGTTACACACTAACCCCATGGTGAAATATAGTGGTGGACATATCAAGCTGTGGGCTTACTTTAGCAGAGACAAAAAAGATGGTCACTGTGGTCACAGTTGATGGGAGGATGGGTGGAACTAGAAAACCATGTAGACTGCACAAGTCTGGAGACAGGGGTGGAAGTTCAACTTCCAACAGGACAACAACCCAAATATACAGCCAGAGCTACAATGGAAAGGTTTGGAGCAGGATATGTTCATGTGTTAGAGGGGCCCAGTTAAACTCAAGACCTAAATCCAACTTAGAATCTGTGGCATAGCTTGGAAATTACTGTTTAACGATACTGTCAATCCAACCAAAGATAGTTCATTAAAGTATGGACTTAAGTGAGTTGGATTCAGATAGAGAGCACAATTTTACATACATTGCATTGGTCAATCAAAAATCCCAATTTACTAACCTGAGGTTTGGGGTCATTATGTGACAAAATCAAAACAAGTTCCAAGGGTATGAATACTTTCACAAATCACTGTATATGGACTTTTCCAGGTCTATTTTCAAGTCTGGTGTCTAAAGATATCATTTCAGGTAGTAGAGCCTTTTTTCCAGGTCATACTAGGAGCAAAAAAGTGATCACTGACAAGAAATAGCTCAGGTTTTAATCATTAACAGGAATAATGTTAATGTAAATGAGAACATTTCAAATTCTAATCATACATATAACCAGCGTTTATGTAAAATAATTTCCCTTACAGGACAAAACCTTCCAGTTTATCATCATGACACTGAGCTATTCATCTTGTACTTGATGTTATCTTGCGTCAGTGGTTGAAGATAAACCGGTTCGCTGTCCATTAAGAAGTGGGAGGCTCCCTGATGAAGCCAGCTGACAGGCTGAATCAAATTTTTAAATAAACAGAGTATACTGTGTGAAGGCCACATGTTTGTATCAGTGAATACAGATTTACCCCTACTACAAGAAGAGTTTAATATGAAATGAAAAACACATAGAAGAGATTGGGGTTGTTTCTGTTGAATTCATCTTTAAATCGAAATGAGCTGAACTGCAGATGAACAGGAAGTTATCAGGACCGAAACAGGTGACATGCAAGTAAAAAAAATCTCTGACAACAGAACCAAGCAGACATCCAAGCAGACAGGTCCAAACATGACCCAGCTGGAAGTCACACAACACATGATATTTCATAGAAAAAAAAAGTGAATGAGAAAAAACATTATAGTTTGAGTTTTGGCACGCAGGAATCGAATGTTAAAATAGAACAAAATCAGGACTGCTCCTCTAAACAGTTTTGCTGTTCTCCCCTTGAGGACAATAGGGAAAATCACAAAACGCAGACTGTCCATTTCCTGACCGGGAAAACATTCAACACATATTACAAGGGCAGATTCCGATTTAAACTCTTCTCATTTATAATAAATTAAACATAAACACATTGGATTTTGAGTTTAAAGACACTTGAATGAATTTTGACGGATGCCTTGAAACCTTATCCACCAGGTTAGTTTCTGTAATATGAAAATTGAACATAATGAACATCAGACAAAAATAACAGCAAAGAAATCCTTATGTAGACACCATTCCTTTCAGTCAGGGAATGCTGAGCAAACATAACAAAAGAGCCAGAATTCCCAATCTGGGTAACAATGTAGTTTTTTTCAGGTAAAGCAGATTAAGTATTCACCTATAAATTACTTTTTTTTTACAGGTTGCCTCTTACTTGAGTAATCTGACCAGTAACACTATGATCAATGTTTGTTAGGCAGCATTAGTTGTACTTGTTCTACTCCAAGAACCTCTGCCCCATTAAGCTACTATTCCACACAGGCCACCAATAACAGGGATTGACACAAATTGCTAAATTTTAGGATTCATGAGGATTTTTGGGATACAGCACGAATACTGGGAATCAGTTAACATTCCCTTTGCATCTAAGAATCAGGTACCATTCAATTTAAGTCGTTACTATTCCTGACAATTCATGGGATTTTCCATCAAGATATAATAAAGTGATGAGGGACTAGAAGGAGATAATGTTATTTGAATTATGGCTTTTTAAATAAGGTGACTGTTTAGCCAATTAAATAAAAACATGTATTAATTTGTTTTTTTTTATTTATGTTCCTTATTTCTAAGTTTTTCATTTTTTTTCCAGAGGCAGAAGAGAGACTTGGGCAGTTTTAGGGAGTACAATGGCCCTGAGTGATGAAGACAATGCTTCATGAATCCTACCATTGGGTTAAGAACACATAGAAATGCCCAAGAATCAATAAGAAATCTGTTCTGATACCCAAGTATGACCTACAAATTTCTTATAAATTGACAGATTTTTTGGATTCGAGACTTCCAGATGGCTCAAGAATTGCAAGAACTAAAAATAAAATATGTATCAGTTCATGAAGTTATTACGATTGAACTAAGAATCCTGAAATCTTGACAGTCTTGGTGATTTGTGTGTGGAATGGTGGTATTAGTCAGAACAGAGCAAGCTAAAACAGGTCATGTAAACCAGGTAAAATGAAGATGTGACCTGCCCACAAGCTTGTCTTTGATAAAACTTTTCTCCATGACTTTAACACTAAATGGATTGGTAGTGATGATACATACACTTTTAACAATAAAGACCTCACAGGTTTTATATTAAATAACTCCCAGAGATAAATTTGCTAAGTGGTAATAACCACATTGAATAGCTTTCTGCATGATTGTTTCTGCTGTTCTTCTTTGGTTTAAGTCCAGTAAAGCTCTCAGCAGGTCATTTAAACTGGCGTCTTTGCCCTCTTTCTCCACCCAGTCATTCAGCAGATCATGGATTCGATCTTCATATTGTAGGTGATCTCTGCTTTTGATCATGTTGTCATTCAAGCTGAGCTGACGGAAGAACCTCTTGTAAAAGTCAACGTTGAGTTCTTCAAAAAAGTCAAAGCATTTCTTGAGAGATTCAACACCTGCAAACAAAGATGAAGACAATAATTCAAACACCAGGTACTCGATGTGCATGATCACAGAGTTTTTCCAAAGTATTCATACTGCTTGGACTATTCCTCATTTTATCATGTTATGACTGCAAATGTCAATTTATTTGGGTTTTATGTGATAGATCAACATCGTATTATTGTAAAGCAGAAAGAAAATACACGTTTTTGGACGATAGTTGCAAAATCTCTAAAATGCTTCTGGTCCTAATTCAGCCGAGGTGCCTGTTGATGCATATTCTGCACAATCAAAGAATCACTTTGCTTACATCTAGCAGTTAGAGTCTGAATGCCATTATTATTTTTTCAATATTAAGCTGTATTTGATACAGAGTGATAATGAAACAGAAAGGATTGTACAAAAGCTTGAATCGTAATTCAATTAAAAAAGATTCTGTATTATATCTCTGATTATGCTGCATTCATCTTCCCATCAACTCTGACCAGCTTACTTCCCCAAAACACAAAAATCTCGACATGATGGTGCCACTACTATATTCTGCATTAATAGTCTTCTACCACACAGTGTTTTGCTTGAAAAAGAAGCTTTTATTTATTTTGATTCGTTTTCTTCATCCACTTCACAAATGCAATAATTTGCCTTCATCTATCACAAAAAAACAATAAAATATTGTTGCATGTGTGACTGTAACATGATAAAATGTCGAAGAGTTACATAGGTATGAATATTTTTCCAAGGCACTGTATGTATACAGTAAAGTCATTTATAACCATCAGGTAGTTCAAACTGTATAAATATTAGTCACACTGAATAGTATTATTAGTACTAGACAGTTTCAGATGAAACAAATGAAAATAAAAGGAACATTACCATTCACAGGAACAAGGTTGGGGAATGGCTCTTCTTCCTAAAATAAAGAAAACCACAGATTAAAATACAGATTTCCTAATGAGATCTGTTTTTATATGTTTGAGAGGCCAGGTTTAATATTCAAACACTGATGAGCAACAGTGTCTTGTGATGTCAGTTTGTATAGATCAGATCAAAAACCATTATTAACAGAGCTCTGAACAAGCCAGTCTCACATTGCCTGCTCAGAGTGTGACTGGTGAGGGTGTGGTGCAATGATGCAGCAGGTAGGACGGACAGGCTTCCAGTTTCTAATGCCCCTTTTCCACTGGCTCGATTTGGCCCTACTCTACTCCACTCGGCTCGCTTTGCGAGCATTTCCATTACAGTTTTTTCTGTACGGGTACCTACTTTTTTGCTCCCTGCTACTGAGCAGGTACGACAAGGGCTGAGTCGGGACTACATGTGACTTGCACAGACTGCTGTTCATTGATTGGCCATGGGACCAGGAGAAATGTGAAGGTTTTCGTGGAGGTAAAGCAGGGACAAGTTAAAAAAACTCAAGGATGACTACAGTAATATTGAGGACCACAATGGCCGGAGTGGGTCAAACTGAAATACAATTTTACTATTTACAAATCATAAACCATACCTAAAGGCTGAAAGAAAAGAAAAAGCACACATCAGCTTTCTGAATTACGGGCAGGTGGGGCGCTTTGTTTAATAACATCCTAAAACAGCTGATTACACATCAGCTGTTCAGGAGCACAAAAGCTTTCCTCAAAACACGAAAAACAAAACCACCATGAAACAGCATGTTTGCATCGGCAATTTATTGAACCAGCATCTGCAAGAAGAGGGAGCTGGCAGAGAGCAGCTGCCTGTAATCAGACGGCCTACATCGGATCAAACGGGAGGG